GTAGTCATGCTACCTGTGCCGTGGAGTAGTGTTTTTCTTGTGGGTGTTTTATTGTAGTTCTCTATTGCCGTGACGGAGAGCGAACCGTCTCGCTCCCTGGTCTCCTTAGAATGTCGGTTCAACTTCGGCTCAGCCTTGGACCTCGTAATACTTGTGCGATCTGAGGATCGTGACTATGTATGTTCCGGCACACTGCCATTGACTGGAAGAGATTGGAACCCCGCTCTTTCTCCCAGCTCAGAGTGCTTCAAATTATATTGCTATAGTAATAGTTCGTTATAAAACATTAACCCTTGGCAAAATCGTGTACCTGCGCTTCCCTCCTCTCCTGTATAAACCACGTCCGGGCAAGAAATCACAGTATGGGATTTCTTGATGTTTGACCCGTACTTTAGGCGGCGCCATCGCAAGAAGGACGGCTACATGTTCTCGAGCCCCGGGCCTCATGCCACTTACTCCGCGCCTCTGTCACACGCGCCATGATGCGCCCAGCTCTGTCTTCTCCACCAAGTCCGAAGAGGCCTCTCTTGGTGAGGGTCGAGCCACATCCTGAAGTACTTTCACAGATTGGCCCACCACAGTTCGCAATGGCATCAGCCCTTGCGGTACAGAAACTGTCGAGAGCGCAGTCGGCATCTGTAGTACACGAGGACCCGCAAAAGAAATTCAGAGTGCAGTAAGCGTTGACGCCATCCGCATCGCTGTCGCAGAAGCAGGACCCGATACAGCCACCCACTTCTGGGACGTTCCCGTCCGGACTATTGCAGGCGGGCAAGGGAGCTGTATTTAGAATCGTCAGTTTACAGATCTCCGTCCGGAACAAGAACTGGAGCGTGATGTAGTGTATGGATTCTTACCAGCAGTCTCCGTTGAAAGCACTGTAGTTGTAGTGGTGGCCGTGTCCGTCACCGTAGATGTGCTTGTCGAGGTGGTAGTCGTGGTGGCTGTCGCTGGGCTGATCACAGCTGGAGTCGTAGTACTGCCAAAAGTCAGAGGAAGGCCAATAGGTGTGGTTGAGAAAGCATACGTGGTCTCGGTTTCGGTCACGCTAACTGTCGTCACAGCGGTCACACTCGTCGTAGCGCCTGTTGTGACTGTGGTCGTCGTGGTCGATGGGGTTTCGATGCAAGCGCAGACGGCCTCAATTATAGAGCTGGCTTGCGATAGCAAAGCGCTCCAAGCAGACGCTGTGGGGTCAGGCGAGCCTGTCGAAGAGCTAGTTGTTGTTTGGACGTCACTGGGCTCTATAGTTGGTGTGGTAGTTGTTGTCTGGACATTACTGGGTTCTATACTTGGTGTGGTGGCTGCTGCTGCTGACCAGGTGTCCCAGGCGCGATCGGCGTGCAGTGCGCGCTTCCGCCTGGTGTGACGTACCGTCGTAGTAGACGTCACACTGCCCGTCTCTGTCGTTGTGGTCGTAAAGGTATCTGTAGCAGTGATGGTATCCGTCACTGTCAACACCGTCACTGTGATTGTAGTTGTGTCAGCGGTGATCCTAGACGAACTGTTAGTCTTCGTCTTCAAGTTGGCTTGCTAGATCACTTGCGTCGACGTGACAGTTGCGACAGTAGAGGTTGCCGTGGAAGTTTCGACCGTGGCCGTGACCGGGCTCTCAAATGTGGCTGTATACGTCTCTGGTGAGACCGGGTAATTTGAAGAACAATACGAGAGAGCGGGTGAATAATCGGCAAAGACAGAGGCAGCATACGCCCACTGTCCTCGCGGACATGCTGACTGTGCCAAGACGAAAGTCGGCGACAGGGCAATTAAGCCATTCGCGAGTAGTACTTTCGTTGATACCATGTTGGTCTTTGAAAGGGAAAGTCTGAGCCCGATGGCCCTTGCAAAGAGACGGACAAGAGAAAGCAAATGGATGTAGAAGAGGTAGGTGAAATGGACGGGGATGTTTTGACTGGAGACAGAATGTATACCTCGTAATGCCCAGGAGACCAAGACCGGGAGCATTAGCTAGTCATATATACGAAGGCCACTGCCAGCACCGGCCAGGCAGGAGATTACACTGTAGGTGTTCGCGGCGCCATGAGCATATCTGAGCTTTCTTCTGTTTAACACTGATGGGAAATGTATACAAAACACGCAAATTTCCCAGACGTTGATGGAGATCGTGAGGGGAAGGCAGCTGTCGCCGGGTCAGGATAGATCGACAGTGCCTCAGCAAAGCTTCTTCTGAACCATGAGGCTGTAGTGGTTGTCTAGGCAGTCTAGAGGTGGATAGTTTGGAATGGTCGATGTTCCCCTTTGCGTTTTGGGAGTAACCTGTCCATAGCTCGTCGATAGTCTTTCTATTCCGAGGCTCCCCAGAGAATGAATTTTCATAGATTGTCCAGCTCTTTCCCAAGAACAAGAACAACAGATCTTTGACTCGCTTTTTCACAGACAGAGAGATACAGGCGAGTTGGGAGAACGTGGCGGTTGCTCAATAGAATAACGTGGAAGGGTTTCTTGGGAATTCCCTGTATCTCGACCATATATAAGTAGAGAATCGTGACTCGCGAGGTCTGGTTCGACCATCAAAGCGATTTGTTTGTCAATATTGAAGGTTTACTGATAGTCGCGTAGTCGCGATGGAGTGTGAAAGTCAAAGTAAAATGCCCTGCGCGTTTTGGGAAATTCAGTTCTGCTGTTTTAATGGAAGCCCGTCAATGGGCGTGACGGGCATCGAGTGATTGCCAAGAATTTTAAATTGGCGACATGGCCCACTGATCAGCGAGTCAGCTCTGTACTGAGTATTCAGCATTCGATATTTTTCTCTTTTCTCCTTCTCTAACATACATGAATATCGATATATACTGACTCGGGTCGGTCTCCCTTTCTGACTGTTTCTTTGCTGTTGCATACATATGGCTTGTCAGACCCCATCGAGACCGACACGGGATACCCCCCTCAGTTCTGCCCCTTTTTCGCTGCCGCTTTCTCCTTGGCCGCGATCTGAGCCTCCGTATGGTGAGGTTCACGGGCCTGATGCTTCTTTGCCGCTGCCGCTTCTTTCGCTGCAATCTGTGCTTCCGTGTGATGCGGCTCCCGCGACTGATGCTTCTTTGCCGCTGCTTCCTTAGCCGCGATTTGTGCCTCAGTGTGGTGTGGGTCTCGCGATTGGTGCTTTTTGGCCGCTGCCTCTTTCGCGGCAATCTGAGCCTCCGTATGATGTGGTGAGCGCTTATCGACCCAAGAACCGAACTCGTCTTCGGTGCTGTCCCAAGGCCCAAACTCATCAGGGGCTTGGGCTTCTCGGGGTCGGTTACCCTTGGCCTTTGCTGCTTCTTTAGCCGCAATTTGAGCCTCCGTATGATGCGGTGATCGCTTGTCAACCCAAGAACCAAACTCATCTTCGGTGCTATCCCAAGGTCCGAATTCATCAGGGGCCTGGGCACTTCGAGGTTTGTTGCCCTTGGCTTTCGCTGCCTCTTTGGCGGCGATTTGGGCCTCGGTATGGTGAGGAGATCGCGATTGATGCTTTTTAGCAGCTGCTTCTTTGGCTGCAATCTGTGCTTCGGTGTGGTGTGGGGATCGCTTATCCACCCACGAACCAAATTCGTCTTCAGTACTGTCCCACGGTCCAAACTCATCGGGGGCCTGAGGGCTACGAGCACGATGACCTTTGGCCTTGGCTGCTTCCTTTGCAGCGATCTGGGCCTCCGTATGGTGGCGACGCTCAAGATCTGGAATCACTGCTCTGACGACTTTCGACGCCATAGAGGCCAGTGAACCCTTTCCGCAGTCAGTACAGCACGCTGCAACAACTCCGCTCAGATTGACTCACCACATGTCGTCGCTCAACATCGTGGTCACCAAAGTTGACTGTAAATCCGGCAGTGAGATGTGCCGAGGCCAAGAGGCCGAAGACCAAAGCCTGGTTGAAGGAAACTGTATGCATCTTGACTTTTGTGGATGTGTTGGAAGTGTTGAAGTAGACTGACCGGCAGTCTTGCGAGAAACGGGAACTGAAGAAGTGAACGAATAACGGTCACAGACCTGTACTGAAGTCAAAGTGGAATGATGATGTGGAATGATGATACGGAATGAACCTTACTGAGGGAGCGATGCGTATTTATATCAGATATTGATGGTTTTGAGGCTGGCAGCAATGATGGATTCTGATGTAAGTACTGCCCCAGTCCATCTGAGACAGCTCTGACTAGTTGTTCAAGTAAGGTCGCATCATGGAAGCAGGAAATGCCTCACGGGGTCGAGATCTCCAATGGTCGTGCGACAAGTCGTGCCTGTCTACGGCCTGGACCGGTGTTGATCGCCATCAGTCTACGAGTACCAACAAAACTGACCAACCTAAGCGCCCTCAACCTCAAAAGGTAAGTGCTCCCTGTTACCCCTGGCTCTGTCGACATATCAGTCAATGGAGAAGGGGCGAGTCATCAGGGTCCCTCTGAGAGAACGTCCTTGCGGGACTAGAACCCACGCGACGCACCTAGATTTCAGGTCGTCTTTGATACTTGGCGATTATGAGTTTGTTCTCCGCGTTACCCACATTACGGTATCACTAACTCTGATTTAGCATTGGTTTGGAGAACTCCAGCGAGGGGATGATCTTTCAAAGAGTTGTCTCGAGAAGTATTGGCGATCCGATATTTCCTCATTTGGTTAGCGTGGCTCGTCACCGACTGCGGAGTATCACCAACAGCTCCACAACGTGGGCGTCGTTTGACCACTTCCTGCCCCGGCGCTACGCCAGTCTGAGGCAGCATGTTGTAACAGATCTTTCAACTCTTATTGGGAGGGATTGAAACCTGCAATGTGTTACACTAATGAATGGATAAGGCTCAAGTTCATGGCAACTTTACGCGGTGGCTTTTTTTGGTCCCATCTCATGCGTCTCGTTATGGAGTGACCTTCAACGCGAATGATTTTGACTGACTCTCCCAAAGCTTCAACTCTTCTTTCCAGACTTATTCTCGACAGCATTTTATCGCCTTTTCATACTTTTGATGTACACTTACTGAACCCTCTGACCTGGAACTTTGACAATGGATTGCAAATACCAGGCATTGACTCCGGTCATGGAAAAGGCCCGCGGCGAGTCTTTCGATTCCTGCTCGACGCTGGGTGACTTGGAGGATTTACAAATTCCATTATCTTCAGGATCGGGTGTTTGCCGTGTCCAGAGATTGAGCAAAGCACGCCAGTTCGTCGCCTCGAATTGGCTATGGATGGTCCATATGATCCTTCTTCTCGCGTCTTGCACTTTATTCGCCCTTTCCGTCACAATTCGATCATCAACGTTAAAACATGTGCGAGAGTTTTCTGCTTGGTGTACGTTCCCGGTCAAGTAGATTCCTATACTGCCCAATCAATGCTTCAAATATGCTGACAGAGCTCATCGACAGCCCCTGCGGATACAGCGGTTGAGTTCAAGCCGATCAAGTATAATGTCACGACAAGTGGAAATAGATTCGTCGGCGCCGGGCCTGAGGTGGATGAAGCCTGGCGGGAGATATCCTACGATGGTGAGAGAACTTGGATTCCCTCACCTTTATCGTCTTCGTTGACATCTGACACGATTCTCTCTCAACAGTTGGAGACCAATGGATCTCAAAGTCCGACATCAAGCACCTCGGGATGCCTGAATCGTCACTGCAAGTTAACCACCCAGAGACGGGCGAGGAAGGTTATCGAGTTGGCATGGAAGTATTTCATCAGCTCCACTGCATCAACCTGCTCCGTCGAGTGACATACAAGGAGTATTACGAGCCGCTGGGTGGAGAATTTGGAAAGGGGCCTGAGGAGTTGCAAAGACATACCGGTATGCCGATTTTCACACCTTGATTGCGAACATGCATTCGTGCTGACTGCTTTGGGACAACACCAGATCATTGCATCGAGGTCCTCCGATTAAACATACAATGCAACGCAGATATAGGGCTCTTTACGTTTTACATGATTGAAGGCGACCCGTTGGCCTGGCCAGAGCTCAACTCGAAGCACGTCTGCCGGAATTTTGACAAGGTCCGCCAGTGGGCGGTCGACCATTCAGTCGGCAATATGGAGGTTCTTGCGTGAGGACCAGCAAAACAGACTAGAATTATAGCAGAAATGAGCAATGAGCGTTTATGATTGATTATCTCTCTGCCCTTGGTTCTTGAAGTTCTCCTAGTTTACAGGGGCCATTCACAGGAATAACTTCTAGCTTCCACTTGACAACCAGCCCAGCAGATGTGTCTAACGAGACCTTCGCTGATTAGAGTTGACTGCGCCATTTTTCCCCTGTCAGTTTTACCGCCCAGCGCCCAGTATCTAAAGCCTCGAAACGACCTTGTCCAGTGCTTAACTCGCGGGTGGAGAAAAGCTTGACTACGACGTTCTCGATTCTGTATCACTGTCCAAGCTTTTGTTTCAAAGCCGATGGGGGGAGCCAACAGTGGGTTTTTCCCCATTGTGAGTCGTAGGTGCCATGGGAAAGTGGAACCGAGTTTCAACATTGGCCATCTGGGTCTTGATCTAACGGCCATGAGGCTCTGAAGTGCTCGAACCAGCCTCATCGGGCCCCCTTGCATTCAAACCCCTGCATTGTCCTCCCCCAGATGCTGTGGGGAAACCCAGCCACGCACGCAAACGCAACGCGTGTCCGCTAATTCTTTCCCTCGCTCGATGTTTCCAAACACTCTTTAATCGTCTCGACTATACCTCGGAGACAGGATGCACTCCACATGACCAACACTAACACTCGTAGACGAGGTTCACACAAGTATTGAGAAATGTTGTTTTCCAACGGATCACACGGCATTCAATGTGGCAGCCGCCTCGTACACCAAGACTGCGACGGGCCCTTCTCCTCCAGGGGACGTTGATCACGTAACATTTCATCGACTACGAGCACATCGACGAAGCTCAAACATGCTGTACAGTTTCATGGTAAGCCCTCCTTGGCCAGAGTTTGATCCTGGCGCTAGAAATGATGGAGCTTCTCATCCATTGAGAGCACATCAACCCCCTTTTGACGTCTGCAACTCTCAACTCTAGCATATTCTGCATCTCATTGACAACGGCTGTAATTCTGCTTCTGCCCTGACAGTATCCTCCAATCACTCTCTGACTTCTCTTTTGCTATCCTGTACAACTGCCCATGCTCGACAAGATGTCTCTCAGAGCGGACGAAAGCACACAACCCATGCTGTCCCAATACAGAATGCGAGATGTCGAGGAGGATATCCCTCTCGACGACAACGAATCCGACGTGACAAGAGTCGCTCCCCATGCAGGAATATTTGGGAAGATGGGCCGTCTGCGAGCACGTAGCCCTTCAGACATGTCAACATGGTCCTACAACGCACCCAATACACAAACAAGAAGACACCAGTCCCTCGTCGTTGTCCTGACTTGGTTTCGCTGGGGTATGGTCATCCTGCTGCAGACAATCATTTTGGTTCTTTTGTGGCACCAGGGCCGGAGAGGGGCGGGAGGGGAGACGGATCCAGAATTAAAAGGCAAAACAGTCGAGACGGGAGGCGACATCAACGGCATCTACAAAACAAGTGAGCACTTCGTATCCTGTGTCTTGTCCACTGTTCTCTTGATTTTGAAGGCCCATTTGGATTGGCCTCTAATTCATTGCATCCAGCATCACACTCCTATACATTCCTCAAGCCTGACCCAGACAAATTCATACCCAACATGACTTCGAACGACAATCGATTGGAAGTGCGGAGGAATTGGGACTTACTCATGCCATGTAAGCCATTCTGGAAACAAATCTGCTCTTGCGAGGTTTTGCTGACTTGAGTGACAACGACAGTGGGCAGTGGCAGCGTAGCCATCCCAGACTACCGCGACCACCCACTCCTCGGAGACCCCATTACCGACGATCCCATCCGGTCGGGACCGTTATTCGAGGCGTCATGGACACACGCCCTCCACTGCGTCAGTAGTCTTTGGCACGCCCCCTTCTTGAAAGCGCATGAAGTCTAACTCAGAAGCAGCTATACTACACCGTGGACAGCTACCACCAACTCATTGTCAACGGACGCACGGACAACGACAATCCGTACCACGCCGCCCACTGCTTCGAGTACCTTCGCAATAGCATTCTGTGCAACCTCGACATGACGTTGGAAGGGTCCATGTCCACCCCGGACGACAAGGAACGGGGTCAGCCTCACGTTTGTCGGAATCGGGAGGAAGCCATTGCGTGGATCGAGGCGCGGAGGGTCGATGATTTGCAGGACATTGTTGGGCCGTAATGACGGAGATTCGCGGATATTCTAGATGATATAAAAAGTAAACTTTCTGCACACCAACTGTTTCCCGCCTGTGATGCCAAGTGATGGTTCGCATCTTGGTGTGTGCTCGTGTTTCTTCTGTCTAGACTCGGCGACTTACCTAGTTTCTCCATGACGGATTAATTTTCTCCACCGGTTAAACCTCGGACGAAATTTCCAACTCCGCAGTCCGTGTGGCACTCGCGGGAAATTTTATTTCTGCCAGCGTCTGCGCTGATGCACCGATTGACAACCTTTTCATATTCCCCCACGAAGTCGGCGGCGGAGAGGTGGTGAAGGCCGGGTCGGAGAAATCACCACCATGGAGACACAATCCAACAGGCCGCATAGGCCGTCGAAAGAGAAGAAACAACCGAAAAAGGGCGAAAAGAACGTCAAGGCCTTCGCCGTCGCCAGACCAGGGCGACTGGCCAAGCAGGCTGTGCGGTCGAGCGACATAAAGGAGAAGCGCCTCCATGTGCCCCAGGTCGACCGCATACCCGAAGAAGCGCCTCCAATTGTCGTCGCTGTCGTCGGGCCCCCGGGCGTTGGGAAGACGACCCTCATTAAAAGCCTGATCCGGCGATACGCAAAACAGACACTATCACACCCGACCGGCCCTCTGACCGTGGTGACCTCGAAGCGACGACGTCTCACCTTCCTCGAATGTCCCTCCGACTCCCTCGCCGCCATGATCGACGTCGCCAAGATCGCCGACATCGTCCTCCTCATGATCGACGGCAACTATGGGTTCGAGATGGAGACGATGGAGTTCCTCAACGCTCTGAGCGTCTCGGGCATGCCGGGCAACGTCTTTGGCATCCTCACACACCTGGATCTGTTCAAGAAGCAGAGCACGCTGCGTGCGGCGAAGAAGAGGCTGAAACACCGGTTCTGGTCCGAGCTGTACCACGGGGCAAAACTGTTCTATCTCTCTGGCGTGATCAACGGACGGTACCCGGACCGCGAGGTCCACAATCTGTCGAGGTTTCTCTCCGTCATGAAGAATCCGAGGCCCCTGATATGGAGGAACAGCCACCCGTACTGCCTTGCAGACAGGTTCCTGGACGTGACGCCGCCCACGGAGATTGAAGAGAACGAGAAATGCGACAGGCAGGTGGCCCTCTACGGCTATCTCCGAGGCACAAACTTCCCAGCGGAGGGTGCGCGGGTCCACGTCCCGGGCGTGGGAGACTTGACCGTCAGAGAAATCGAAGCTCTGCCCGACCCCTGTCCGACACCCTTCCTCGACCAGGCCATCGCCAAAGCGACAGGCAAGGCCCACCGAAGGAAGCTGGGCGAGAAACAAAAAGTCCTTTTCGCACCCATGTCTGACGTGGGTGGTGTTTTGGTGGACAAAGATGCCGTCTACATAGACGTGAAGACGAATACTTTCGACCGGGATGCAGGAGATGCAGAGGAGAGGGGACTCGGTGAACAGCTCATGATGAGTCTACAATCAGAGCGGAAGTTACTTGGACAGGCAGACAGAGGTGTTCGGCTTTTTCAGGGCAGTCGACAGCTCACGGCAGATGAGGCTGCAGAAAACGACACTGGCCGAAAGACAAAAAGGGGAATACGTGCGTTTGGTGACAAGAGTGATTTCACCCAAGACGTGGAAGAAGATGAAGACGAGGGCTTTGTCAGCGGAGAGGACGATAGCGAAGCGGATGAAGAGGCCAACGACTTCCCCGAGCATACGGGTCGACCAGGCTTCGTCGAAGCAGATGAGTCCGCCGAGCGTGAGGGCGAGGACGATGTTGCTTTTGCCGAGAGCGACTCCGACATGGGCTCCGTTTCTGGCGACGAGGATGGTAGCGTCGATCTCTCCGCCGATGAGCTTGAGGGCTCTGAAGACGGTGAAGAAGACGAGGACGAGGATGAGGACGATGGCGGTCTACGTTGGAAAGAGAATCTTGTTGAAAGTGCCCGAAAGTTGCACGCCAACAAGGCTGCTTTCCGAGCTGCCGACCTCTCCAGATTAATGTACGACCTCACACTAAGCCCCTCGCAGGTAATTTCGAAATGGTCAGGGCAAAACGCGGACGAGCACATGGCCTCCGGCGAGGATGATGAGGACGACAACTTCTTCAAGAAAGCAAAAACTGATCAGGAGACTACCCTCGAGGACCGACAAACGCCCAGGTACGACTATGACGCGTTAGCTGAGAAGTGGGAAGATGAGGAGCAAATCCAGTCACTCAAGCCCCGCTTCACCAAAGGTTCAAATGCCACTGGAACCAATGCAGATTCAGAAAACGAAGGCGAGGACGCTGAGGCGTCTGAAGATGACGAGTCTGATGAAGGAGACGGCGAGTTCGAAGATCTAGAGGCAGCAGCGGGCGAAGATCCTGAAGCTACAGCCGAGCTGACCCTGGAGGAAGAGCGAGCCCAGAACGCCAAACGCAAAGAAGAACTGAAGTTACGCTTCGAGGAAGAAGACCGAGAAGGGTTTGCTAATGCTGCAAAGAAGGATATCGAAGCGACAGAGCAAGAGTTTGGCGAGGATGAATGGTACGACGCGCAAAAAGCGATGCTCCAGAAACAACTCGACATCAACCGCGCAGAGTTTGATAGCCTGGACCCCGTGTCGCGAGCTAGAGCCGAGGGATTCAAAGCCGGCACCTATGCGCGGATAGTGTTGGACAAAGTGCCCTACGAATTCGTGCGGTCGTTCAATCCGAAACTTCCTGTCATAATCGGTGGACTGGCGCCGACCGAGGATCGATTTGGATTTGTGCAAGTTCGCATCAAACGACATCGGTGGCACAAGAAGATTCTCAAGACGAACGATCCGCTCATCTTCTCGCTCGGCTGGCGGCGATTTCAGACATTGCCGCTGTATTCGATATCTGACTCGCGGACTCGCAATCGAATGCTGAAATATACCCCGGAGCATATGCACTGCTTTGGCACCTTCTACGGACCACTTGTTGCCCCGAACACTGGGTTCTGCTGTGTGCAATCTTTTTCAAACGCCAATCCGGGGTTCAGAATAGCGGCCACCGGCGTGGTGCTGAATGTCGATGAGACCACCGAGATCGTCAAGAAGCTAAAATTAACCGGGCATCCATACAAGATCTTCCGCAACACGGCCTTTATTCGCGATATGTTCAACTCATCTCTCGAGATTGCAAAATTTGAGGGAGCCAGCATCCGCACTGTTTCTGGGATTCGTGGGCAGATCAAGCGGGCCCTTAGTAAGCCGGAAGGGCATTTTCGAGCGACGTTCGAGGACAAGATTCTCATGTCTGATATTGTCTTCTTGCGAGCATGGTATCCGGTCAAGCCACATCGATTTTACAACCCAGTCACCAATCTCCTAGATGCGCCTCCTACAGGCAGTGCGGCTGCTGGGCAGGAAGGTCAAGGTGTTGATGATGGGTCCAGTGAATGGCAGGCGATGCGTTTGACTGGCGCCGTGCGAGCAGCAATGGGTATACCGACTCCACTCGTGAAGGATTCAGCATACCACAAGATTGAACGACCAACTCGGCATTTCAACCCGTTGCGGGTGCCCCGGACTCTGGCTGCGGACCTCCCATTCAAGTCGCAAATCACACAACAAAAGGCACGCAAAGCACCAACCTACCTCCAGAAAAGAGCCGTTGTGCTGGGTGGAGAGGAGAAGAAGGCGCGTGATCTCATGCACAAGCTGCAGACGTTGCGGAACGAAAAGGCCGAGAAGAGGGCGAAGAAGCAGGAGGAGAGACGGGCGGTCTATCGCAAGAAGGTTGCCGAGAACATGGAGAAGAAGGAAGAGCGGGAGAAGAAGGAGCGAGACGAGTATTGGCGACGAGAGGGTCGGAAGCGAAAGACGAACGAAGGGAGTGGCGGAGGAGGAAAACGATCAAGGCGATGATGTCTATATCTGGTCGATTAGATGTTATGATTGATACATGCGACGTGAAACATGATACCCTTTTTTTCCACAGAGCCATCCATGTATGTATGTATATGATGTGAAGGCAAGAAGGATAGCAATAGAATGTTGGGTGGTGGTGGAGTTCATGGGCCCCAAAGAGGATAAATGCCACGGGGGTCACCATATTGGAAGATGCCGATGATGGGCGAGTGAGAACGAAAGGAAGCGGCACCGACGGTCAAGGGACCCAAAGGCGTAATATGACGAGACCCTGCAGGGAAAATGGAGTCAAAGCAGCATAGCGCGTGCCAAACGGCCGATGCAAATGCCACGAGCAGCAAAACTCTGTCAACCGTTGTCGCCGTCCTGCCCTCACACCACACGGCGACAATGGCCAAAGCGAGCACTTGACTCTTTGCTATTTATTGTCTCTATCGCCGTTACCACCACTATCGATGCGCGCTGCCTCATCCCGCCTCACCTCGAACAAAACCCTTACCAAGGGATCTACCGAACAAGAACGCGTCGGCAGTGGCCCAGACACGCGTTGCAACGCAATCAGGTCCTCGCCCCACCATCTCAAACCAGCCTGCGAGGGTTTCGAACTCCACCAAACTACCACACGAGTCACGACCATTGCAAAACACGCGACGGCTCTTCGTTGTCTCGTCGTTCCTTTTCTGATTCTTACTCCTGGTTGCCATCTTCCTCTCCTCATATGCGAGCGTCTTTGCGATCCGCCCATCCGTCTCTACCCGCGACCTACTATATCTACAAAGCGTGCCCGCTCCACGCCGGATGACCGAGTCGAATATGCAGCATGCCACGGCGCATGATGCTTCAGCCATGCCGGATCCACCTGAACTGACACCTGCACCCTTACCGCCAGAGGCTGTCCGTCCCGCTCCGCCCTCTGGAGACTCGAGCGATACCCAGTCCTCCAAACCGAAAGACCTCACTCTGTCTACTAGTAACACATCTACCAGCGTGGATGATCCGTCAGTAGATCACGACGAAGTGTCGCCCATTTCGTCAGCCCTCTCGAGCCACGGGGGATCGCAAGCAACAGAGACTCTTTCACAACAGGAGGAAAGGTTGAACGCGGAGAACACTGGGGTTGAACCAGGTCAACAGGAAAAGACAAACTCAACCTCCCAGAGTCCTCCACCACATACCTCGGGTATCAAGCGGACCGCGAGTGGTGAAGTCAAGAGATCGAGTGTGGATGTGGTGGAGGAGAGTGTCCCAAGACCTAACGGTGTTGGTCCTTCTCATGCATCGAGCGCAACTTCAAACCAAACAAAGGGCAATGTCCTCGAAGTAAGTTTATCCATTTCCGCCTCCATAGTTCTGGTGATCTGACGGAATCCAGCTCTCACAGCAGTTGCGCACCAGACTGAAATATGCCATGGTCAAAGTCCAGAACGGCTGGCAATCGCGGTCGTTGGATGAAGTGGAATCTTTAGCATCCCAATCACCACGGTCAACCGTGTCTGGGTTTCAGAATCTACACGATCAACAGATGCTGTCGCCCAGAACTGCCATGTCCCGAAAATACCAGCGCGAATCGAGCGAGAGCGAATCGTCCGACAGCACTGTGGCTCTTGAAAGCCGCGGACTCGTGAACATGGTTGGCAGTCCTCCAGTGTCGTCGCGTCGAGCCCTTGCTCCTCCAGTCGATATTGTTCCCAGTTCTCGCCGGCGTCCGACTCCAAACGCGGGAATTCAGAGCGTCAACGGAATCCACGTGCAGACTGGAAACTTGCATTCGTCGAGGCCGCACACTAATCAGCGAACCCCAAGCCAGAATGCTGCGATGGAAGCAGACGCGGTAGAAACCCTCCTTTTCATGGCCAGCCCCAACAACTCGGGATACAACCCACCTTCCCATGCTTCGCAAGATTCTTCCCTCCGCTCTGCACAGGTATTCTCGTCGCAGACCTCACCACTACGAACACAATTCAGTCAGACGTCGGTCACCTCACCGAAAAAAGTGGTGTTTTCCGACGCTGGCTCCACAGCACCACCCTTTGACAAGGGAGCTCTCATTGACCGCATGCTGGACGAACTATCTGATGACAGTGACGATGAACTGGAGCAAGCATTCCGACTTGCTGAGAAGAGTAAGGTGTCGGCGCCAGTCTCTACGTGACATTTTTTATCTATAACCTGCCCTGAAGCGATATGCGTGTCAGCGGTATTTGGAGAGACCTCATTCTGCCTGTTGTCCATCGCGTGCAGAGAGGCTACGAGGACTACGACTTGTACAGCGAATCTTGCATGTCATCTCAAAGGCGATCAAGTTGGTTTATATATGGAGGAGATGCATGTTTTGTATATGCGCATGCGCTGTTGGAATTCTAACCTTGCCGAGATCTCTGTTGTACTTTTCTTTTGTTGGTCATGAGGTGATTTCTCCGCCCAAACGGCGCATAGCTGTTGAATTCGTCACTTGATGATATCCAGGATCCGTCTGTGATTCGAAGCTGGGGGATGTACATCCTTGTCAACAACTCCCAACGTCTGCAAGCCAAGGTAAAGGCATCACCACTGCTGGAATTTTCTTGTTGCTTAGGGCGTGTCTCTCTTCCAAGAAATGGAATACGAGCTCGTGTGTGACACGAAGAGTCGGTGCACGACTTACCGTCGCCGACTCGTATCTGCCTTTCCAGCCTCAACCTCAGCCTCGAAGTCAGTTAACTCACTCACTCACTCACATGGCTTGTTTGCTTGTCCCTGTCCCTGTCAGGTTCAGCTCGGACCACAGCACTGCATCCACCATTCGCTGCTGCACAGATGGATTGATCTCGAGTGACACAACTACCTACAACACATGGCCATGCCCATCCCCGTCACTTGCACCACCATCCCAAGGCTTGTCCAGCCTGCCAAAAAAAAAATCACGAAACGAATTGTCAAAGCTGGGATTTCTCGTAAAGGTCCCTCGTACGAGCTCAGATGACAAGTTCAGCCTCGTATTCAGACTTCCACAGAGAAACACATGACTTGAACCAACCACCAGGCAGCTACTCAATTCGATGCTGTTCTTCATATCGCTGAGGGCGGAATCGAAGCTGGAGGAATGGTTATTAGGTCGCTGAGCCGATATATCCCTTCTCCAAGATCTCTCACTCTCTTTCTCTAGTTTCGAAACTCCCCTTCTACCTCTATCTCTCCCTCAGCATCACTCTATTCTTTCGCGATCATTCTAGATCCCCACAAAGCCTGACCCAACATCACAGCGAGCACCGACAGTGCCAGTCACGACATTCACCATGCGGTGTCCCACAGTATCTACTCCTCTCCTCTTCTTCTTCTTCTTCTTCTTCCTCCTCGTTCTGTCGTCGACCATGTCGAACATATCGACCATGGCATCTCCGTTTTCCGGGCACGAGCACGAGCACGAGCACGCAATGGTCCAAGGGCCACCTCTCGAGAAGCGGGCGGTGCCGCCTCCACCGACCGACGCGACGTTTAAAAACACGGTCCTGGCCCGGGTCAATGCCTATCGGGCCTTGCACTCTGCGCCGGCCGTGACGTGGGACAATGCACTTGCGCAGGCGGCCAAGACGGCGGCGACGAGGTGTAGTCCGGTGCATACGGTGTGTTTCTTTTCCATCTCCTTTTGGGTGGCTTTGGCGGTTTATATTCAGCTACACGCACACTCCCTATCTCTCTCATATACACCACAGAGGTGGATACATACATCTACCTACATAACATTGCCCGTCAAAGACTCTTCCTTGAAACCTCTTCCCCCCTCAACCTATCCCATCATATCCCATCATATCCTTTTACTGACCTCCTTCCTCCCCACCCCCACCCCTTCGGGTGGAAATCGGGAGGAGAACAAGCCCAACAACCCCTACGGCGAAAACATCTACTCGTTCTACCTGACCCCTCCCAGCACCGTCCCCAACTTCACGCTGTGGCTGAAAAAGGGTCTGGACTGGTGGTACGGCGAGGTGCGCGACTACTACTCGTGGGCGGCGGACCACTCGGGCCAGTACCACTTCACGCAGCTGGTGTGGAAGGCCACGACCAAGATCGGGTGCTCGTGGTCGGCGAACCAGTGTGCCACGGCCCACGGCGATTACTACCTGGTGTGTGAGTTTCAGCCCAAGGGGAACATTGCGGGCCAGTTTGGCGGGAATGTCTTGGATGCGTGACACATACACACAAAGAAGGAGGGAGAGGATGGGGAGAGGGTGGGGCGAGAGAGGCAGAGAGGGAGCGGAGGGATCTGTGATATATCACGATCGTGTACCTCAGGATCTGCACACGCAAAAGTACCACTAGTAGTAATAGCTTTTGGCTTGTGGCCTTTGATATCTGACCTGGTATATTGGATCTGGTAATTGGTATTTCCCTTACCACCACCTACTTACATACCTATCTGGGAACCTAGATATCCACCCTCCCACGAGAAAAGGAACCGTCCGAGGTCTGACTCCTGACTCGATACTCAATGCGGCCTCGGATACACCCTCCGCACCGACTCGCGCTGCAGCATATTCGCCCACCACGCCCTCACCTTCTCCCCCACGCAAAATTCCGGCACCGTCTTGCGCACCAGCGCCTCGAGGGGCGCAAAGTCGTCGATGCGCTCGCTGCCGGCCCCCCACATGGCGTGCGCCAGCCAGGGCACGACGTGGAGGTCGGCGAGTGTCAGGTCGGGGCCCGCGGCGTAGGGCAGCACGAGGGTCGCGTCGAGCTGGGCGACCCCGGCGGCGAAACCGCGGTAGTCGGCGCGGCTTTGGTCGAAGAAGTCTTGATGATCATCTCCGTCGAGGTAGTAATGCCTATAAATGGCATGGTTCATGTCCCGGCGCGACCGGTAAAAGTCGCTGTCGGGGAACTGGGCGGCGTACCCGTCCAGCGCGGCCTGGCGGGCGGCGAGAAAGTCGCGGAACGGACTGGCCTGTTTTGCCTTGAGTTCGTCCCGGTCGCGGGCGTCGAGGAGGATGATGTTTGTGCTGAGCTGCGGCGAGTGGACCAGGTCAATGACCTCCTTGACCTTGTCGACGACATCGACAGCGCCCCCTTTCTTTCCGGGAGACAGGGTGATCCCCTCCGGACGGCCCTCGTCGAGGTAGACGAGGATATCGGCGCTCTCGACCAACGGCGCCGGCAGGGCCGGGCAGGTCAGCGAGGGAATCGTCCCGTTGGGGTTGATGGCGACGTAGTCTGGGTGGAAATTGCCGCCGTTCACTGGTTTGCCAACGTCGTCATCAGCCACTATTACGAGCCATGTGCGAGACATATAAGACCGGGAACAAAATAGGTTACTCACTCAAGTCAATGTTTTCGACTTCATAGCTCCCTTCAGGGTATCCCTTCTCGACGAGGCCGAGGAGAGGGACGCCGGCCCATTGAGAAGCGGTCGACGAGTAGATTTTGAAGAGGGGGGTTGGTTTCTGGTCCTGCATTTTTGTTTTGTGTTTTTTCTTTGGCAACTAAGTCAAAGATGTATTCTGTTGTCTTTGGTGTCGATATGCTTGTCTCTGAAAAGGTAGGACTAACGTCGCAGGGCCTTTTCCTCTCATATATATATAGTTTATACACAAATACATATCCATCTCTCCACCTCGCCCCTTACCCTCGACCTCGCTCTATCCTCAATATCCACAGCAGAGGCATTTATTCAGTATCAAACACCCCTTACCGAGCAGGGCAACGTCAATAAGGAAGAGGGTGGAGTCTACTGAACATACCGTATCCCTACCGTATTCGGCCAAGATCCCATACCACGGTTACACCGCGCATGTTGATTCGACCATTTATCCAATGTTTCCAAATCCGTGGCGAAAGGACTTCTTTTTTTCTCTTGTTGCGCTTGCTGGCAGGCAGGCTGGTACCTGACGGGTTGCGGGTTGTGCTGGTTTGGTTTGGTTTGGTTCGGAGTGACTTGTTCGACGTGAAATGGCCAAGCAAAAAGATTCATAATCATACAGTTTTTGACAGTCAATGAAATGGAGCCCGATCGCATTAAGCCTACCCTGGGGGAATGTGACTTAATCTATGACCTATTGAGGAAGACTAGATTCACCCGGAAAAGTGATAGTGTTGAAGGAAGTTGATAAATGACGAAGGTCAAGATTTTGTGGTTCGCCTTCCCTCTGTTCATGATCAAGCACATGGCCATGTTGATACTTGCCTGCTTAGAAAGACAAACTGGTTGGCTGGCTGGCTGGCTGGCTAGCTGGAAAAAGACCGCAAATATCAGAGGGTGCCAGGTTCTCCCTCTTTGGAGTATTTCTTCCAGTCACCCGCCTGCGTCTGCGGCGTATATCCTCCGATTGCGCTCAACCATATAATTCCTCCGCCCCTGACCCTGACGTGCAGAGGCAGCTTTCTGAGCCTCGGGCCGCAGTCGGCACAACGGTGGGGGACTCTCAAGATCAACACGAAGAGACATCTTCCCTTGTTGCCTTGTCCACTCCTGCTTCCCATTTCCAAGGCTTCTCCCCCTCATCGTCATACGCGTATGTACTCGCTCGGCCCGAGACGCAGTATTTAGAAACAGCACAGAGGTGCAATGTGTCCTCTCCTCGTGTGGATGGCTAGCCAGGCGGCTGGCCAGAGGAGGGGAAGCGAAGAAGGGGAGGATCGTGAGGCTACTAAGTGAAGTCGAGTCAGACTTCCACGCGTCACTCACTCACTCACTCACTTAACTCACTTGTCATTTTGCTGTCTCGTCGTCTCGCTCGAAAGGAGAATTGCACGCGACTAGGCCCTCAATAAAGGAGGGACCAGGAGGAGAAGTAGTAGCATGTATGTACTTGTCCCAACTCGCTCGGGACCGAGTACGAGTCGTCTCAATACGAGGCAGGTGTTGAGAGAAACAACTATGGAGTTCCTCGTACGATTGACTCGCAGGACTTGGTTGCCCCTCCTTTCATGGCTCGGTAGTACATGTCCAGATGCCATTCTCGGAATCTCTCGTATGGGGGAGGTTTGGGTTTTGCTATATATACACACCTACCAAGTCGATTAACCTAGGTATACACGGTTCATTTCACCTCGTAGTTACATACAAAAGATCCGTGTAAGGACGGACCCTAACCATACATATACAAGTATATTCTGTCAAGCGCCAAAAGACCTACCCCTTTCCACCACGTCTGATCGCCATTGTATACCTCCCATCTCTATCTATAAACACCGCCCAATATGGACCCCCCACCACACGTCTTCCCCGCCAGCGACTCGCCTATCGGCAACATCGCCTCCCTCGAAGACAAAGTCGCCGTCATCACCGGCGCCTCGTCGGGGCTCGGACGCGCCATGGCCCTCGCATACGCCGCTGCAGGCGCGTACGTCGTGTCTGCAGACCTGAAACCGACGCCGCCCGTGGCCCCGACCATCGCGGGAAGGCTCAAGGACACGGACCTGACGACGCCGACGGTCGACTTGGTCAACACCAAGTGGCCTGCACCTTCAAAGGACAGGGCCAGCTTCGTCCAGTGTGACGTCACGAACGAGGAGAGCGTCAAGGCCGCTGTTGCGTTTGCCGTCCAGAAGTACGGCAGGTTGGATATCATGGTGAATAATGCTGGTGAGGTTTTTTCCTTCTGTCAGTCATATTCACTTCCTTGAGAAGAGAGTATTCAATCTCTCTCTATCTCTCTGTCGTGTAGGTGGGTAGTTGGGTGGTTGTTGACTACCTGCGTCCTTACCTACCTCATCCCTCGTCCTTTGCACTTCCCACTCTTCACTCTTGAACTCCTGAACTCGTTTACTCGTTTGGCCTGCTCAATATCCCTCGTCCATCCACGCATTAACCTTACCTCTCTCCCCTTTGCGGCTCTCCAGGAATCTCCGCCGAAACTGGCTCCAAAGAATACTCCGGCGCGTTCCCCCGGATCCACGAGACGCCGGTCGCGGCGCTCGACCTGACGTACCAAGTCAACATCAAGGGCGTATGGCTGGGGACAAAGTACGCCGTGACGCAGATGCTCGCGCAGGAGCCGCACCCGCGACACTCGCGGCCCGCCGGTCCGTTGGGGACCACGACGTCGGACGTGCACCGCGGCTGGATCATCAACATCTCTAGCATCATGGGGAGCATCGCGATGCCCGGCACATCGCCGTATTGTGCGAGCAAGAGCGCGGTTTTGGGGCTTACGCGGGCGGTTGGGCTCGAGTACGCAAAGGACGGCATCCACGTCAACGCCATCCAGCCGGGCTTTGCCGACACGGCCCTGCTCGAGAACATGTACTCCAAGAACGACCGCGACAGCATGGACGCCACGATGAAGATGTTGCATCCCTGGGGCCGCACAGGCAGGGCCGAGGACATTGCCCGCGCTGCCGTCTTCCTCGCCGGTGAAGGCGCCAGCTGGATGACCGGCCAGTCCATCGTGGTGGATGGTGGATATCTCGCTCAGTAAAGAGGCCGGCAGAATCGAAGGGGGCGATGAAGAAAAGGATAGAAGGGAGAGAAGGGAGAGACATCTGCATGGCTGGATAGACTTGCGTGTCCAACCATTGCAGACGAAAGTCTTGAGCAAAAAGCAAAGCGGCCTCTCAAACGGAAGGAGGACATGTACCATGCAGAAATCGACACATCCACAAAAACACAACGCGGTCCAGACAAAGTGAACGGAATACCCATTTGATTATGCATACTCAATAGGCTGAAGCCCTCAGGCTATGATGCAGTCATGGTGCCGGACAATAAAAGCTTCGCCTGCTCAAACCCTACCCATAAACGCCTTGCCTCGTAACTCATGCCATCATTCCACCTAGCCTCTCGTTTGACCCTGTCTCCATGTCTCGTAGCCCAACAAAGTGTCCGTGGACTGACACAAACGGCTGGTATCGTCAAATACGTGCATGAAACAAATCGCTAAAAACAAAATCTTGCAGTTCTGTCCACCGAGCCCGTTCACCCACCGAAACCATGCGCCGAAGAAATGAGACCGTTTGGTTGGGGTGTTGACCTATAACCAATACGATCACCCTATGACAGTGCCCTTGGTGGCCAGTCTGGACGGGCTGGGGAGGAAAGGCGGTGGTTACTGATTGAGCAGTAGCACTCTTGGTTATCGTAGAGTAGTCGAAAAGGGTGGCATGTCAAGTATAGCCTATCAAAGTCAGTAAGACACTAGCAGTTTGGTGGACAAAACTCACTTCTCATGGCATCGGTGTATCCAGTCCCACCCTTGAGGTCCATCTCAAAGCTCTCAGCCACGTCAATCACGCGCCTGATATGCACCATACTCAAAGGCACTTCTTCGTGCACAGCCAGAGCCTGTGCGGCACGCACCAAGTTCTTGATCTGGCGCCCATTGACCTCACGGCGCGCAAGGTCGTTGTAATCTTGCTCGGTGATATTCGCAACTTGCATCTCTTCTTGGTTCTTAACCCGATCAATGAAGAGCTTCCATACGGTGCGTTTCGCCTTGGTCGTAAGGTTCTGGAACCGCAGCGATAGATGGATTCGTGACACAAAGGCAGCGTCAAACGTCTCCACGCGGTTGGTGGTCAGGAACAGAATGCCTTGGAAGTATTCGAGAAGGCGAAGAAAGATGCTGACAAGCGCATTGCGATGGATGTCGTGAATGGAACGTTGTTCCAAAAAGACATCGGCTTCGTCCAGCAACAGGATTGCTCCCCAACTGTGGGCAATATCCAGAATGTTTTGGAGTTCCTTTTCGAGCTTAGTTGGTTCGGTGCCCAGGTCGCCCGCACTGACCATGTACAACGGACACTTGAGGAGATCCGCAATTCCTTCCGCAGTAAGTGTCTTGCCGGTGCCTGGAGGACCGTGGAGAACAGCCACCAAGCCACGGCCTTTGCCAGAGATGATGTCATCAATACTCTTGTGGGCTTGAAAAGTATGACTGGAGACAAGAGCCTTGACAATGGACTTGTGGTTGTCAGGAAGGACGAGACTCTCAAAGGCTTGGTCGTTGAAGACGACATCAGAAATGCCAGAGACGGTGAACTCGAGCCAAAGCTTTTCGCCAAAAGCAAAACCCAGAACGACAGGGCTGGCAATGAGCAATTCTTCCTCAGTAAATTCGTGGGTGGATAGCTTGTCGTCCCCAAGTGGTTCCGTGTTCTGGCTCCAGTCGATGTCTTCCTTTGAGTTGACCTCCACAATGACATTTTCACCATTTGGCGTCCTGACCACTTTGTACCTCTTGGTCTCCTGCACCTGAATGGTTTCATCGGAAGGAGTGGTCTGGTTATTGGCCTCCATGTCGCTACCACTGTCAAAGCCGTAGCTCTCATCGGTGTCGTCGAGCATGCCTCCGTCTGGATCGTCCTTTGGCTTGATGACGCTGGCCGGATAGTTGGGATTGATCCGACGATGGATGGCGGGATCGACCATGACACGCCCGTCAATGTTGATCTTCAGCACTTGCTTCTTGCGTTTGGTGTATGCCATGCCCCTATGGTGACGGTAATTCATACCTTGCAGGGCCACAAAATGCTTGCCTCGGTCAATGAGCTGAGTTCTCATCTTCTCCGCATGTTTATGATACTGAAGTGGATAGCAATCCAGCGAGGTTATCTTGCGCACACCTTGGAAGGAGGAAATTTCCGCGTGAGTGGTGCCCATGCCAAAGTTCTTGCCGTCGTACTCGAGGTATCGGCCTTCGACGATGTACCAACTGCCCCTCATGAAGTGCGATTCTTTGGTGGTGAAATCGATCTTGAAAGCCCGCGGTTCCTCCTGATCACCGTAAGTCGAAGTGTACACAATGGCATTCGGCTTATACAAGGCCCAGAGGAGGTCAAAGGTGATCATGCCATTATCCAGCATTGGGTACAGATTCTTCTTGGTCTCGGCAAAATCTTTGTCCAGGTATTTGACCATGACTCGAAGATGTTTGGCTTTGGTCTTTGAAACCTTTGCCTCCTTGCGCTTCTTTCCTCCAGCGTCGTCCTCGAGGGTCCTGATATAGTCCCTCATCTCTTCTAGATACAAGAAGAGCATATTGGGATCCAGGTGCGGCGTATCTTCTACCAGGCTGATGCCCTTGACGCCCGCCATGACATGTTGAAGGCATTGCTTGAGAGGTTCGGATTTGATGTCGACAACCGTTGCCAGGTATTTGTGCTCCCAGTCGAACCGACGACGAACAGTGAAGATATACTGGTCCCAGATGGCCTCCCCGGTATTTTTGACAGTCTCTGTGAGCTTGAAGTTGTGGATCGATTGGTCCCAAAGTTGGTCCACTCGTTTGTAGGCCACTTTGGAGGCGCGTTTCGGCTTCTTCTGCTTCTTCGGCTTAACTTCCTCGAGGTCCTCGAGGAGGATTTCGTCTTCGAGAACGGCCTCTCTACGCCGGTTTCTTCGAGGTTTGTCATAACTGCTGAGGGGGATCGGCTCTGGATTAAGCTGGGCTCGGGGCATCCCGAACACAGCGGACGGAGGAGCAAGAGGATTATTGTCAAAGTCAAGCTTTCGCAAGGAGGATTTCAGTTGACGCAATCTTGCAGACTTGGGGTCTTCACGGATCTCAATAACATCACATTCCCCTCGATCCGGGCTGTCGTGTTTCCTAGACACCCTCTTGGACGGCTTGACTCGAACTCTTGACCGAGGTCTGATGATCTCTTCCTCAGAGTCATCCTCGCTGTATGAGTCCTCGTCTTCAGTTGTGATCTTTTTCTTGGACCTCTTCTTCTGCTTCTCCAATTCTTTGACGAGGGCTTTTGCCTGAGCCTTCAGCTTCTTGACTTTGGATTTCTTCTTGGAAAGCGCGACAGAAGACGAAGAGTCGCTCCCTGAGTCGCTCGAGTCGTCACTATCGGTCGAGGCTTCCGAGGAGGACTCGGAGTCTGACGATTCATCTTCCGTCTCTACGATTTCCTTCTTCTTGCTACCACGTTTTGACTTGGCCTTGCTGGACGGTCCAACTTGCTTCTTGTATTTCTTCTTGTCTTTGGCAGTCTTTGGTGCAGGAATCTTGCTGGTGGTGGGGCGTTCGGCCGAAGACTCTGCCTTCTTTGTTTCTGCTGTGACACCGGAGTTTTGGTCCATCTTGCCTGGGGAATAAAGGTGGGGAGCGGTTGGAAAGTCGAGGTCTAGTGGTGTAAAGTGTAACACTGTAGGTAGGTCAATAGCGAAGAGATGTGGATCGGGGAAGATGAGCCGCCAGCGCCTCAATACACAAGGCGTAGAAGGAATGTAGGGGGTTGAGAGGGTGATTCACAAAAGGTATAAGAGATGAAAAAAAAAGTAGGCTGTCTCAGGCAGAATTGAGGCTGAGGCAGAGCAAGCGACAGCAGCAGCAGAGATCGAGTCACAGGCACGAAGATCTGGCTTCTGCCTTTTCTCAAGTCAGCCAAGAGAGATAACAAGGGGATAAACAAGGCAAAAAGAGGGAAAAGGCAGAAATCTGTGACGGCTGAGCAAGTGAATGATGGATGATGAATGTCAAGCGCGCGAACCAGGGCCTTGAGCCACGAGTTCAGTGGAAGAGGGTTGTTGTTTGATGCCTCGTTGCAGCCTGCCGCAGTTGTCTGTGACCAACCATGCCATTTGATCGCCCGACAGGCAGGTGCTAATCCAAGGTTTTTTTAGTCAATGACAAGCAGCAGTAGCAGCCTGACGAGCAAAATGGTCGTGTCAAGCGTGCCGGGAAGTAGGTGGCATGGCTTGCATGGCTTGCATGGACAGAAAAGCATCGCAATCCAGGTGGAAGAGCAGCGCAGTCGTGCATGGATGATGGTTCTGTGTGGTCTCCTGATCAGCGGGTAGCGGAGTCGCAGTCGACGCTGAGTGGAGGATATGCACCCACTACCCAGGCCTCCCCAGGACACGTCCACGGGTGCCCAATGCCAACAAGGATGAGCTGACCCAGGCGAGCAGGGAGGAAGCTTTTCATCCGTGCATCCGATCTGTGGAGGAAGCTGGCCGCTTAAACTGCTTCAGGCCTACTTTTCGCCTTTCTCGCGGCAGAAACTCACACAAAGAACCCCGGAAAAAGCAAAAGATCCCTCCAACCAAGTGGGCACCACGCTGCACTATTTCATGCAAAAGTCCTTCGGGACTCGCCTTGGATGCCTTGAGGCAAACCGCTACTGTCGAGAAATTCGCCTCAATTGGTACAAACACCCATGATGGCGGCCCAGCTGTCGAAATGACCCTGGAAACTTTGGCTCCCGGGATGGCAGGATTTGTAAGAAGTACTTGTTATTAGCAACGCAGACATTTGCTAGAGATGCTGCTATCTTCAACTACTCGCATCTCGCTTTCGCCTCGCTTGCTTCAACCATCAAATAAGAAAGGCAAAGCATGAATCAAGTATGAGAGGTACTACATTGCGACAACTCCTTTTTCCAAGCCTCAAATCCCTCACTCTGCGTGGCTTCGACTCACTGCTCAACAGTTTTAAGCAGATGCCACGACCTTGGCAATCTCCAGATCCCTGATGTCGTGCAGACCAGCTTTGAGAAAGGAGCATTTCGGATTTGCGCAGCTGTTGTTACCCCACTGCTCGATCGTCAGCACACTGAAACGACACAACGGTAGCACAACGAACCCCTCCAGATGACTTACCGGACATTGGTGGCCATAAAAACAATCGCTTCGCCGACACTTGGATCCTTGAGTACAGGCAATGCTTCTCGCCTTATAGCGCAAGGTGTTCCTCATAGCGGCGTCGATGGGTTCGTGGTCATAACGACAACTGTACGATTCACAGTTGTCTCGAAGATGATGCTCGTTACAGAGCTTCCGAATGGCGATACGATCCTCAAACTTTTCCAATTCCGATGCTGTGGGAGTTCTCATCTTTAGATCGATTCTTTGGCCGTTGCGGTTGACTGGGATTCCGCCCTTGCCTTCGTGGCCCCCATTAACAGCTGCAACATGAGCCGGAGGGGCAGGTTTCGGTCTCGCTACCTCGGTTGGTGGTGTGGACAACTGAGGTTGAGAATGGGTTCTGATACTGGTATTGAGCGGAAGTGTACCCATGGTTGTCAAGGATTGTGGGGTCGGGTTGGACGAATGGCTCGACCTACTGACAGCTGGGGTCAGATCCGAACTACCATTTTCGGTGGAGGAGGAAGCTAGGCTGAGTGATTCGAGGGTGGGTGGGACATAAACCGGCTCGGACTTGGGAATGATCTCTAAGGGCGAGGACTCGAAAACATTGTCAAATCTTGTCGTCTTGAAAGGTAAAGTGCCGTAGGCTCGGGCAGCGGCAGCGGTTTGTGCGCCATGGACTAGGACCACCTTGGAGGCCACGGGGTCATGGCGATATTTGTCGAATTCGGCGATGTAGCCATTATCGTGAGAACATGCCAAGTAGATGCGTTGACATTGAGCATTATTTGCATAGAAGCGGAAGGTATCTCGAGAAGGATTAGTTAATGACACAAGCACATTGACACGGCATTACCTCGTAACTTAGCATCGACCCTCTCTTTTCCCGGACCACAATCAATAAACTGGAAAAGGCTGCGGCTCTGGGTAAAGGAGCAAAAGAAGGTGTCGATCTGGGAAGGGTGGTTAAGGTACTCGGCAGCCGCAAGGGTTCGGGCCAGGCCTTGCTTATTTGCATAGATGTTGACAAGGACATCACTGTCGGGATTAATGCCTGGAAGCGCATCCGCCGCCTTTAGGTGCTTGATGACTTGGTTGTAAAGCTCATTGGCCGCCATGGAGCCACCGGAAGTGTTCAGGGCATCAAAGAAGGCCTTGCGGAATATGAAGCCATCACCGTCGACGAGGACCACAGTATACTTGCGAGCCACGGCAGCTTCGGCGTCTTCGGCACGCTTCTTCCACATGCGGCGGGTAGCTCTCTCATCCTCTAGATCTGACTCTAGGGTGGAGCACGTGTTGTTGAGTTTAATACAGCTCTGGATCAAAAAGTCGATCTCGCTCTGGCGGTTTTCGTCAAAGATACGGTAGTCATGGAGGCGCTGAAGCAGGTCGTGTTGGGAAGGCAAGGCAGCCATGGCGATAGGGTTTGTGGCTATAGTAAGAGGTGTAACGATGATAAGAAGGTAAGGCGGTGATGGCGGTTGTGGGCGGCACGAAGCAGCCTTAGCGGTCAGGGAAAAGGCAAAGAGAGCTTTGAGGTTCGCAGCAGACGAAGCGAGGAGGGACGGAGTACCAAGTATCAGAACAATGATGATGGATGACACAAGGCGATAACGACAAGGCCTTGGTGCAGTGGTGCATTGGCATCAACTTTCAGTGACAAGGCTTGAGTAAAGGAAGAGTCGATTTTGCACCAAGAAAAACATCTGCTAGAATGACTAGTCACTGGTCCAATAATAGATGGCAACACTTTGGGCAGAAGTGGCACAAATGAGGAGGGGAAAAAAAGGGGAAATGGTAAGATGAATTAGATGAAACAAGAAACAAGTGATGTCTGGGAGACCGACAATGAGCCCACCGTTTGTTGAGAGAGGTCGACTCTGTCTGTTTTCTTAAGAGCAAGAGTGAAACTGTTAACTCCAATCTCAGGTTTGTTGTTGGCCAGTCGAGTCGAATCCTACTCGTAATGATACATTTGGGCATGAAACGAGGAGGGAAATGTAGACATATTCAAGTCTAGGCAGCCACCGGCCTTTGACGGTTGGATGAGGCTGGAGGCCGGAGGACGAAGGCCAGGTGGCGGAATGCCCAAGTAACATGATGGATAAATAATAGTGGAAGAAAGACGATGAGAGAGAAGAGACACTGATTCTCAATAATTTCATACGTACGTAGGAGATTCTTCTTGATATTGCCGAGTATTAATAGTGATGTTGTCATATTGAGTTTCATGGGTTGTTATTGCTTCTCTTCGGTACTAATACTCGGAATGTGCTAGGGAAGCCCTAGATACCCAGCACCACCTATAAAATATTATGTCCTCGGCCAGTCCATGATCGTCTTGGGGACCACCAGAGCTTATTATGGGCGCTAGACTATGAACTATTTAGCTGGAACTCGCACCTAGGCACCTACCTAGGTACACACCCACGCACCCACGGCAGTCAAGAGTCTCTCACTTTCTCGTCCTTCTCGGTATACCGTCCACCGTCACCCTTTACCCTTCAACAAATCATCCACATCATGTCCCATTATATCCATCTTCTCGCAATCTCCAGCTGTCACTGGCTGCTTGTGACGACCAGGCCGGGCACTCACGGGGTTATCAAATTGCCGATTACTTATGTGTCCCCCAGTCTCAGTAGTGCCCAGGTCCCTTTGTATTAACAATCAATGCCACAAACAGCTACATACCGAGGCACAATCTGTTAACCTTGAGGTACTGGCGATGCTTGTGGTTGGCTGTAGTTGATGCCATTAGCCAGAACTCCCCCCAAACCCAGAATCTGTGGACTGACTGATACTCTTTATGGATGGGGCAGTCCTACAAATAAGACTAATACATTATCATGACCATTTTCTTCAGGACGATAGGAAATTTCATACGAATAGGTGAACAGCATACAAAAGCTCGGTTTACTGCCACCTCCTCTTTTTCCAGGTCCTATTCCTCCTCCGCTCTCTTCTCTTCTTCCACATATATCAACATGGTTGAGAACAAGGCATTCATCTACAAAGTGAGTGACATTACATCCCCCCCTCGTTGAGATAGGCGTGGAGCACTGACACTACACAATAAAGGCTATCCCCAATGGCTGGCCCGTCCCAGGTAAAGACCTGACAGTCGAGGACATTGGATTCGACGAAGCCGCACCTCCACCCAAGGGCGGCTTCACCACCAAAAACTACTATGCGGCATACGACCCCAGCCAACGCGGCCGAATGCGAGACCCCAGCATTCAATCGTACGTGGGGGCCATGAACACGGGCGAGCCCGTTATCAGCGTCAGTGTCATCGGCAAAGTGCTGAAGAGCGACAACCCCAAGATCCAACCGGGCGCCATCGTCATGTTGCTCGCCTCCGGCACCGAGTCGTACTCGAGAAAGGAAGAGTCGGCCGTCGCCACTACCGAGATCATCGAGCCGAAAGAAGGCGTGCCCCTGACCGCGTATTTGGGCCTGTTGGGCATGACGGGCATGACGGCCTACGGGTCGCTGCACGAGATCGGGCAGCCCAAGAAAGGGGACGTGATTCTGGTTTCTGCCGCCGCGGGCGCCGTGGGCCAGATGGTGGGACAGATTGCCGTGCGAGAAGGTCTACATGTATGTTCCTCCTGCTGGCTTTTCCATTCTCTACCAAACCTCGATTCTTCCACCCTTTTCCCTTAAGAGAGGGAGGGAGAGAGAGAAAGAAAAAAGCCCCCCAGAGGTGAGACCTAACGAGAAATGAAAACCAGGTCATCGGCTCCGTCGGCGACGACCGCAAACTGTCCTACATCCTCAACGACCTACACTTCACCTCCGGGTTCAACTACAAGAAAGAGTCAATCGCCGACGCCGTCAAGAGGCTCGCCCCCGACGGCATCGACATCTACTACGACAACGTGGGCGGGGAACTGCTCGACGTGGCGCTGGCCAACATGAAGAACTTTGGCCGCATCGTCGCCTGCGGCTCCATCTCAACGTACAACAACGCGCGCGAGACGACGCCGTACGGCGTCAAGAACTACGCCTCGGTGGTGCGCAAGCGTCTGCGCTGGCAGGGGTTTCTGGTCTTCGACCCCAACATCGCGGCGTGGCGCGCCGAGCGCGACGAGAAAGTCACCCAGTGGATCCAGGACGGCAGCTTCAAGTCGGTCGACCACATCACCGTGGGCATGGACCACGCGCCAGAAGGGTTTTTGGGCATGCTCCGTGGCGAGAATTTGGGGAAGAGCATTCTCAAGATTGCGGACCCGGAATAACTGGTCAGAACAAAGGGGAATAGTCTACAAAGGTCGTGCTGATGAATATTAAAAAAGAAAAAAGAAGGGACAGGGTCTACAAGAACCGAGTACTGTCGACGAGGTATCAAGGAAATGTCCAGTCTTCAATGTCTATTGACTTGTTCGTATCATGAATACCTTACATAGGTACATGGGTATTCCAAGGTAAAATTCCCAACGTCCACTTCCATATTCTTCATTCTTCATTCTTCTCTAGTGATTTTCCATCGTTCAAAATTCGTGAATAAAACACTCATTTGACTAACTACCTATTCGCCTCCTTTTCCTTCCTTGCCCTTGGTCCGCTTGCTCCCCACCGCCAACCGAGGACACGTTCCTCCTGTCCTTCCTTCCTTCCTTGCTCCCTTCCTCCCTGCCCAAAGATGTTGCGTTGCGTTGCGTTGCGTTACATTCATTGTATTGCATCATGTTTCATGTCATGTCATGTCATGTCATAAACCATAAAGCTGTTCCTGGGCATCTCCAATTTCCCGCCCTCATCCCCTCGCTCGCTCGCTCTTTCATAAAAAGTTCATGGCGACGCCGCTTCGGGGGTAGCTGTGACAGTACCCATAGAGGGCAATGACTAGGGGGTGGGTGACAACCATCCCGGTGGTCTTCTGGAGGAAAAGCACAAGCCTCTCCAGAGCCCCTCGCTGTCATGACCCGCCCTGTCCACCAACCACGGGCACTTGTGCGCCTCGTCTCCGCATACTGGGCAGGCAGGTTTCTAATAACCTGAGAGCCTGGCTGTGGTGACGGTCCTGCCCTCATTTGAAAAACAAAAAAAGACCCAGAGACCGAGAAAGATGTCTGAATGTTCCAGCATCTAACAAGTCGTCTCAGCATACTCAAATATAAGGTCGCCCTCGTACAGACATGAGAACCCATTCAAGAGGTATAGGAGGAACTCTAGTAGGAGGAATCGCAGGAAAAGGCCATCGCAGGGAAGGTAGTGGTTCATCAATGGCAGTGTCCTCCTCCTCCTCGTCGTCGGTATAATATTCCTCATCATCGCACCCACAACGACTGCTTTCATCGAAAAGGGTGCCACAAACGTAGCAGAACTCGATGCCGCAGACACAGTTCATGTGGTCACAGCCATCAGTCTTCTCCACCATGATCCCACAAGTAGGACACTGTCTCCATTGGTGTTCGTCCCTCAGCTCATATAATTTGGTAACTCCTTCCTCAGGCGCCGGACACACACGCTCCTCCACCTCGGTAGCCCAACTAGGATGATCGCCCTGGAGCCGTTCGCAAGACGTGCATGTCAATTTGTGACATTGAGGACAGACCGCCACCTGTTGCTCGGCGGAACGGTCCTTTTCTGGAACGAACGCCGAGCACCTTTGCGCAGCGCAGTAGAATGGACGATGCGCGCCAAACTCGGCTTCAATCTGTTTGTAGCGTGCCACTACATCATGATCAAGCACGCTGCCCAGAGAAGATATGCGGAGAGGGATGCCGTGGCACGTAGGAGGGAAAGATCCTCGATTCCTGCAGGCTATTCGGAAGGCCTGGTTCAGACAGGGTAGGCAATAGGCACACTGGCAATAGTGTAAGATAACCAGCTCCCCGGCTTGGTGCTCCTCAAAGCAAACAACACACTCGCTGGGTAGTGTCGAGCGCTGGGGTGCATAGGCATCAAGCGCAGGATCATCAGCAGCATAAGCGTCTTCAAGCTGCTCTGGAATAATGTGTTGTTGAGGAGGAGGTAACGCATTGGCTCTTCTCCGTTGGTCAACAAACTGCTCTGCCTGCCACCTGTTCCAATTGAACCCCAGAGAGCTCAAAGGCGGAAGTGTTTGTCTTTCAGGCTGCCCAAGCCTGTCTATAGGCACGGCCATTTGCTCATGAAAGAAATATGGATTACCGGGGGCAATCGGCGGTAAATCTAACAGAGGATTGGGTAAGGGAGCCCGTCTTTTCCAACGGGTTTCTTCGAGGTATGTTCTTCCACCTGTAGTGGCTATATCCACCCCGACAGTGTGTCGCTCTTCACCCGAAAGATTAGCTAGACGCCGTGCTCTCCAGTCAAAATCGGATCGGTTGGCTCGGGCAGCGACGGCGGCGGGCTCGGCCATCTCCTGGTCGCCATCGAAGTCGACGGTACGGGACATGGTGGGAAATGTTGCCATATCCAGATGAGCCTTCCTTGATGACTTAGGACATGAACTCGCGACTCGGTCCCGTGCCACCTGAGTTGAGTTGGTCGTCAGTGGGCTATATAGTTGTTTGGCGAGGTTTCCGGGCTGGTTAGCGAACAAGTAGTTTAGATCCAGATGCTAAGAATGCTGGGGGCGGAGTGTAATTGTGGGGGATGCTGGATCGGTGGGGATCTATTTCTGCGAGATTGATTGATCAATGGACGAGAGGCTAGAGAGGGCGATGATTCAACAGTTTGGCTCAGGACAACTGGGCGACTCGGTCCACGATGACAACGCAACTCGGGATGAGATGTCACACCCTCGATGGACGGACGAGGGACATGTGAAAAACGTTGTCTGTGAGAGTCGAGTCAGGGTGGTGATGATCGCTGCCCCCGAAATTCAAATCTCAGCTGAACCCAAGTGACAGGCTTGGCTTGGTGTCTTTTGTTCCAGGTGGGCGGGCGCCAACAAAACAGGGGCTCTGTTAGAAGCAGTAGCAGTAGATTGGGTGCTCAAAGGTGGAAAAGTGAGTGACTTGACAGTGAGGGGACAAGGCAAGCAGGTTCAGGCAGAACAAACAGGACAAGTCATGGACTCGTGGACAAGGTTGGCAAGAGCAGGTCGCCCATCCAGCAGGGCCGAGAGGGGTATTAATACGTTCACCAGAGAGAGAGAGAGAGGACCTCGACTGAGTTCCATGCGCCCATGCGCCCGTGCCATTCACGCATCCTTGCCATCCATGCGTCTGATTGATTGAGTGCCAGGGCGTCCAGTTCCAGCCAGACACCCTCTATCTCCTCTAACCCATCTCAAGGCCTCGAGCCCACTTCCATGCCATTGCCAGCACGGAGCTTGCTTGTTCAAGACCTGTCAGAACATGTCAACTCAGCACACTTCCAAGGTTGTCACAACACTGGGCCTGTCTGATTGGACACCGAGTCTCGGACCCATCCATCCCTTCGGCAAAGATTGTCTACTTTTGCATCGAGTACATTGGCGGCTTTCGGGGAAGAGGGCACGGTGCATTCGAATCACGAACGGGGCCCACGATTGCGGGAGGCCTCGAGAGGAAAAGACGGTGGGAAACATGGGTCGCAACACTAAGATCGGCGGGAAAGGAGGGGTTGGTTAATTAGTGTCTTGCAGAGCGCTCAAAGATACATCCAACTAGAAGAGTCGATGAATTGGAAACTCGGTGTGTCCGTCTTCCACAAGAACCCCACGCTCCAAAGAACTTTGGAGGTCTGTTGTTTGTACATGCCAGCTCCAAAAAGGCCCCAGGGATCACTCCATTTGTCTATGGATTAGCCTTGACAAAGTCCACTCCCTTCTGAATGTTCTTCTTCAAGTCTGGAAACTCGGTCAGCCACACGTGAGTTAGGGTTGCATTCCAGTGGAACTCACCTCCCAAGCATGCCTCCAGCAGGTTCTCCTCGTACTGGTTGATGCGGCCAACCGGGTGGATCTTCTGAACACCGTCGGGACCAAGCTCAACTCTGGAGGAGAAGAAATCAATGCCTTGGTCCTTGTACAAGGGGCTGTCGACGAAGGTGCACTCCACCACGCCCTTCTCGCCTTGAGCGGCCTTGAGCAAGCTCTCGGCAAATCTGGCACCGGCCATAGCCATCGACAAAGTAGCCGAACCGGCACCGTCCTTGGCCTTGACGACCTCGTCACCACCGAATTGAATTCGGTTGACCAAGGCGTCAAGCTTCTCACCGGTGATGTCGGAGTGACCGGACTGCGAGATCAAGGGGACAATGGTGACGCCCGAGTGTCCACCAACAACGGTGATGTTCTCATTAGCAGGGTCTGTGCCCTTGATTTCGGAGACGAATCGGGAGGCACGGACGATATCGAGAGTGGTGACACCAAAGAGACGCTTGGGGTTGTAGACACCCTTGCTCTTGAAGACCTCGGCGCAGATGGGAACGGTCGAGTTGACCTTTGAACAGTTGTTAGCACCATCTCATGGAAATGCGGTGAAGGCGTCTTTTTATGTCCACGTACAGGGTTGGAGATGATCAGAAGGTTGGCATTGGGAGCCGCATCAGCCGCAGCCTTTGCGAGGTCCCGAACGATGCTAGCATTGGTGTTGAACAGATCTACAACCTCGTCAGAATCGGCATCTTCGTTGTCTGGAAATCATCTTCTTACCATCACGGGTCATGCCAGGCTTTCTGGGGACACCGGCGGGAATGAGGACAACGTCACTTCCCTCCAGACATTCTCGGAGACCCGAGGGAGTTGGGTCGTAGCCCTTGACGGTGCTCTTGGTGTTGATGTGACTGATATCGGCTGCGACACCTGTTTATTTCCACAGTCTTGATCAATATTCTTTCTTGTTTTTGTCAAAGATCGTGAACAGAACGGACCTGGACCCAGGCGGATATCGTAGAGGGCTAATTGAGAGACACGGGGGTTGAGCTTCATCAACAGCGACAGAGGCTGTCCGATACCACCGGCGGCACCGAGGACTGCGACTTTGGAGGACTGTTGCCCAAAGCATCAAAACATTAGCCTTGGACGAGCTCATCCCAAGAGGATAGAAGATGCGGTGTGCGGTGTGCGAGAACCCGTGACAGAGAAAACTAACCTGTCTAGCAGACGCCGAGAAAGCTCGACGCTGGACTTGTCCAAACATTTGCCTGGCGACAGACATGGTTTTACTACAAGGCGAACAAGAAAGTAGATCCCAGGGAGAAGAAGTGAGGGAAGAAAGAGGAAGATGGACAGTGGGACGACAAGATGGTTTGATTGGGAATGAGGAAGAAAGAGAGGGATAAAGTGAAGCTGGCGAGATATTCTGCGAGGAGATCTGCACTGCGAAAAGGTTTCGAAAACGAGCTCTGGAGCAAGCGGACCTACCAACCAACCAAGGCCGGGCGTCTGGACTGCTGTCGACCCCAATGGCCCCAATGGAGAACTGTCAAAGGCTCGCTTGGGGTATCGTTGCCGCAGTCCCGAGGGAGCAACAACCACGCAACCATTTCTCAAGCTCCCCTTTTCGGGAGCACACGTGACACGTCTTGGCATTTCTGCTCCGGGTGCCCGGCCTTGTCATCCTGTCTGATCCGATGCTCCATATAGCCGTCTACAAGTTCCACATACGAGTACAAAAGATGAATTAATGCCTCAGGACGACTTGCATGTCGTGGGAGCCGCGCTATGGCAGTTCCGCTGCTTTGGAAATGACGTAGTCGATCAATCCCCATTCCTAAAGGCTCTCCACTGGTCCAGCAGAACCTGAGTGAAATGGGAAGCACAACTGCCAAATCAGCTCTTCATTGTCAATCGAACAGATCTCCCGTCCTAAAGGACCAGGCGTTGCACCTTCGCAAGAACAAGTTGATTCCAAATTCGGAAATGTGATCAATCGTAAACTGCCCTGAGCAGACGGACATATTAAACCTGACTATTTGGCATGTCATTTGGACAACTTATAGTATTGCACGCATTTGGTACTCATCAACACATGCCCCTCGCTTGCTGTTCATTACGTCGTGCAATTTCTGTAAGTGACGACTCAGCTCATTAACGTCGTCTGAAGCAATCTCGTCCTCCCCTTAGTTTCAACCCATGTGACTCTCTGGTCCGCTGGCTTGCATGCCAAAGAAGATGAAGAGATCATGTCTGGTCCACCAACTCCTCAGTCTCTTGCCAAATATATACACGGGGATGGCAAGAATGCACATTGCCAAGGTGGTTCCGCCAAACGTGAACATCTGTGAAGACATCAGCACTTGTATCTCTTCGGTCCCAATAGCAGGTGCAGAAGGAGGTTTGATTGGGCCGGCAGACCCAGACATTACCCCTATACGGACAATTGTATGGTTCTGACGGTACAATGTTGAGCCAAAGGACGGAAAACTTACAATCTCCTCAGGACCTTTAGCAGCGACCCAGTTGTTGGCGAAATTGGAAAGGCCATAAAACATGAAGTTCTGTATTGCAAGTGTCAGCGATCTGTCCCATCATTTCAAGGGACAACCATTACCTTGAAGAACATATTCATCACGAACATCTCATTGCTCTGGCTACGGAAGGCGTCCAGCCCATAGGACATTGTCGACCATACGCCAATCAGGACACCGACCATCATCAGACCTTGACAGAAGGCGCAGAGAACAGCATTTGAACCGTGGGCCATGGTATAGCCGAAGAAGAACATGCCAAAGGCGGAAAACACTGCGCAGGGAAGCATAAATACGAGTCGGAATTCAGGTTCACTATTTTCAGTCAGTAATGAATCCCCTGTCATCCCCCTTCGAAGAGCAGAGGAGACTTACTAAGTGCCTCTGTTCTTAATGGTCATCCACTTCACCACCCGATCCCCGGTCAGCGCCACAATGATGGACCCAATCATCCCACCGATAAAGGGCCCAGCTCCAATATAGCCAATCTGGGCAGGATCAAACAACCAGGGTGGGCCCGCAAAGATGCCCGCGAGGATGATAGCTGAGCCGACATACCAAGCACAGAGGAGACCCGAGACAATGATGGAGTAGCATCCAGCCGGGTTGAGCAAGGTCAGGAACATACCGAAGATCCACTTGAGAATATTGTCGTGGGAGAAGATGCCATTATAGAGCTTGAGTTCCTGGACAAATGTCTTTTTTGGGGGGTAGCGCGAGGAGCCTGCAGAGGATTCGTTCAGCTCTTTGACGCCAATAGCGTGCTCACGGTGCTCTTCATGGGCTTTTTCAATCTGATCGAATGTCTCCTCTCTGACGATGTCGGTGTCGTACATCGATTCGCGACGATATGTTGTCTCCGGGACGAAGAGGAACATGAGGACGAACTGAACAACCAGGAATATCTGGAAAAGGTGAAAAAGCCAGAGAAGACCCAGGTCGTTGAAGACTTGACCGCAGATGATCGAAGCCAAACTAGACGCTGAGTTCAGGATGAAGTTGATGGTCGAGATTCGTAGCCCTCGCTGGTGCACGCAGTAGAGATCTCCCACGGCC